GGAACTGTATGTGATCATGGCATTGTTAACAGCTTAACAGCTCGGGGACCAAATGCTCAGGAAGGTGCCCTAACAGACTCACAGAATCACAGAATCGTCGGGGTTGGAAGAGACCTCCAGAGATCATCGAGTCCAACCCCCCTGCCAAAGCAGGTTCCCTACACCAGGTCACACAGGTAGGCGTCCAGGTGGGTCTTGAATATCTCCAGAGAAGGAGACTCCACAACCTCCCTGGGTAGCCTGTTCCAGTGCTCTGTCACCCTCACCGTAAAGAAGTTCTTGCGCACATTTGTGCAGAACTTCCTATGCTCCTATTTCTGGCCATTTCCCCTTGTCCTGTCTCCACACACTGCTGAAAAGAGTCTGGCCTCACCACTCTGCTCCCCACACCTTAGATATTCATAGACCTAGATCAGGTCCCCTCTCAGACTTCTTTTCTCAGGGCTAAACAGACCCAGCTCACTCAGCCTTTCTTCATAGGGGTGATGCTCCAGGCCCTTCACCATCTTTGTGGCCCTCCGCTGGACTCTTTCCAAGAGATCCCTGTCTTTTTTGTACTGGGAAGCCCAGAACTGGACACAGTACTCCAGATGAGGCCTTACCAGGGCAGAGGAGAGGGGGAGGATCACCTCCCTCGACCTGCAGGCCACGCTCTTTTTAGTACACCCCAGAATGCCATTGGCCTTTTTGGCCACATGGGCACACTTCTGGCTCATGGCCAACTGTCATCCACCAGTACACCCAGGTCCCTCTCCGCAGTGCTCCTCTCCAGCAGGTCATCCCCCAACCTGTACCAGTGCATGCAATTATTCCTCCCTAGATGCAAGACTCTACGCTTGCTTTTGTTAAACCTCATCTGGTTTCTTACTGCCCAGCTCTCCAGCCTGTCCAGGTCTTGCTGAATGGCAGCACAGCCTTCAAGTGTGTCAGCCAATCCCCACAATTTCGTATCATCAGCAAACTTGCTGAGGGTGGCCACTGTCCCTCATCAAGGTCACCGATGAAGATGTTGAACAAGACCGGACCCAGCACCGACCCCTGAGGAACATCGCTAGTTACAGGTCTCCAACTGGACTCAGCACCTCCAATGATGACCCTCTGTACTCTGCCAGTCAGCCAGTTCTCAAACCACCAGAATGGTCTTCTGAGAGGCCACCTTGCCCACTGTTCAAGCAGTGCCACCTAGAGCCACTGCAGACATTTTTTTAGTATCTCCAAGAAGGGAGGCTCCACAGCTTCTGTTAAGAACATGGGCACGTTCCTTTTTTTGCAAATTAAAAATGGATCGTACTGTTTGTTTTTGTGATCTCTTCAAGCAAGTGCT